AGACCAAACTTGCCGTGTTCTCCCAATTCGGATTATCCCATCTCCACCTCCATTTTTGCTTGTTATGACTCCGGCCATTTACCCAACCGCCCAAGGTCACTCATGGCCAGCAGTGGTTTTGCAGTTTTAGATCATGTCAGCCAACTGAGTCACTGAATTACTCGGACCTCACGCCTATTGTTCCCTACAAGTAGCAAGAGAAACATATTATTATTATTATTTAATCGACTACCTCCCACTGTTTGTGACATTGTCCCCCTTTCGCGCAGTCAACACTACCCGCAAATCCCTCAGTAATGCCCCATTCTGACTGTAAACGCATGATCATGCCAGACGGCATGCCACCCACAAGTTGGGAATAAACATTATTATTATTAGGGGGCGCCTGCTGCATTTGTAATACACCAATTCGTAACGCAAAACAGCGTTGGCGCTTCGATTACTGGACGAACGCGCGAATACCACAAAGTTATCCTTCATGTATTGACTTAAGGCCCTCTCAAATGCCGTGAAGGGTGGAAACGATACACCCACAAATTTCTCAACAAACGATTGTGATGCCACTTCCGAAGCCATAGTACACCAAGTTCGAAGACACATGTGCGCCAATAATTTTCAAAAGAAATCGATAAAACAAATCACAAAAAGGTGACGGCAAATGATTGTGATTTTTGGACTGAGCACGCACGCGAAGAAGTGCAACACTTTGACGTTAAATTTTTAATTTCACCAGCAGAGGTTATGCAGAAAAATGCATTGTGCGTCGAGGGCGCCGTGTTTGCCGGCGCGAAGGCTCGCATAAACGGCTGAGATTGTTTTGCATTGGTTTCTAGAAGGGGTGTGAACAACCGTCAAAGGGAGGCTATTTCATGCAGCTACTACCAGAAATGGTAAATCATTTCGCCTAGTAAAAGTGTGAACTCTTATCTTGAAAATCTCACCCTGTCCCCGACGTCTCTACGATGGGGCAACGGTGAAAACCTGTTGGCCAATCCTTGTTCAAGCGGAGCATAAGTAAGAATTAGGTCGCCTCGAA